GAGATGTATGTGTACGTATTCATAAGCATTATAGTGTTAAACCATTAAACGAGCAATGGATCCCGTATGTACACACGACTTTATAAATGATATTAATAGCTATAAATTGGTGAAAATATAGATAATCATGTATAATAGAGGTGTGAAAAAACGGAGCGAAAAAAACGACGTTTGGTGCCCGAAAAATCGAAAATAAGAAAATCCGTAGCTAATCCGTAGCTAATTAGCTACGGATTAGCTACAGAATATGCTTTCCGTTAGAATTCCGTAGCTAATCCGTAGCTAATTAGCTACGGATTAGCTACGAATTTTTCTTATTTTCGATTTTTCGAGCACCAAACGTCGTTTTTTTCGCTCCGTTTTTTTCACACCTCTATTATACATGATTATCTTTATTTTCACCAACTTATAGCTATTAATATCATTCATAAAGCCGTGTGCACATACGGGATCCATTACTCGTTTACTGGTTTAACACTCCTCGCTTCCATTTTAGCGATCGACTCCTACACTCCTCGCTTCTGTCTTCCCACCTTCGTCTTCTGTGAACGCTACCCAAAACCACCCCTCGTTGCTCGTCCCTTCTCCGGCTCGTTCACCCCTTTTCCGGCGTTCCTTCCCTCTCCGACAGCATAGCTCCTCCGGCATAACCCCTCTTTGCTCGATTTCTTCTCCTACAAAGGTAAACCCTAGATTTTTTCTTTTTTTAATTTGAAGAATGTAATGTAGATGCTTAATCACTTGCTCGATTTCTTCTAGGGTTTAATTCCCTACAAGGCGTCCCGCCTCACATCTCCCACGAATGGTCGTCATTGTTGGCAACCGTCGTCGGTTCAGTTTGTCGCCGACGCCACCACCCACTGAAGAAGCCGGTTGTCACCGGTTTAGCATGAAGCACCGTCGACCTGGCCGCTGTATCTGTCCCACTGCCATTCTCCACCATATCTGCTTCAACTGTCGCCTCCCTCCATTCTTATTTTCCTACTTTCTTTGATGAATGTAAGCCCTAATCTTTTTGGTATCAATCTAGGAATCAAATTACTCCTTGGTATTTCAGTTTCTTTGACATGATTTATTGAAAATTTTATTAAGTTAATTGTGTATTTATTGTTTATATATGTTTCTTTTGTTGGGAGTGGATATTTTGTTTATATCTGTTTTTTCTGTTACAGGTTGAAAATGGAAAAGATGCTACAATAGTGGCTTGAGACCTGTAGATGTTGATTTAAAAGATTCTTGTAACATCCTTTTTACTTTCTTTGTAGAGGAGATAAAAAATCGAGTTATTGAGCTATGAGTTTTTGTTTAGAAGCATCAAATTCGAATCTTAGATATGAAAAGAGAGGAATTTGATGTTCTTAGGGTTGTTCAAGTTGTAGGTTGCATAAAATGCTTATTGTGAATCAAGTATCAACACACCACCATATCGATTGTGGGTTGCATAAATTCTAGAAAATGATTGCTTTTAAATCCAACTTATGTTTATGGTCTATTATTACTTAAGTTGATTTTTTCCTGCAAGTTTATGCTTATGGAATAGTTTGGGTTCCATGTACAGGTACAATATCTATTGTTTCACATATAGCCAATTGGGTAACTTGCAACTAAATTTGCTTAAGTGGTTGGAAAGAAAATCATAATCCAAGGACTCTATTTGCATTTCGGTAAGATCAAGTAAACTTTTCTGTAACTACTATGCATTTATGAGTTAGGTTTTCACTAATATATTGCTCAATAGCCTTTGGTCATGCTATTATTTTATGATTTCTGCAATTACCATGAACTACTTTAAATTCAGTATATTTTGCCTCTTAAATGCAAGATATACATGATTATTATAACGACTTACTTATAGCGTTGTACTTTCAAAAATGTTCCCAATTATGGCTTTAATAAACAAATAAATAAAAGTACATTGCTATATTTGTATTTATGTGATCATTGATTATGGTGTGTTGAAACAGGAACAATTGGAGGCATTTGATTCAAAACTCAAATTGAAGAACACTTGTCGGCCTTTATCGATTCAACTTATCCAATAATTTGCCAAGTAATCCACCAAATAATTCTCAATATTATGTTTGTAAGCATTTAGTTAAACATTTGTAGTTGACACTTTTAATGTGTATTATTAGACACATTTAATGTATTATTAGACAATGTTCATTAGTAATATGTATTTGTATTTGATACTTTTTTAGGTTTATTAGTTTTATTATAATGTTATTTGTTTTGTGGTTGTTATAAGTTTAATGTAATGGGTTTTTCCAATAATTTGAACATAAAAAACTTGATTTTTTTTAATAATTATTTGCTGTTTTTTTTTTTAAATTAAAAATAATTACCTACGGATTATCTATGGAAAATCCGTAAGAAATCTGTAGGTAATAAAGTCAATGGTAGTCAAAGTGGGCTCCGTCGGTAATCCGTAGGAAATCCGTAGTTATGTATTTCCGTAGCTATTCCGTAGGTACTATACCTACGGAAAAAGTCGTAGCTATTCTGTAGCTAGTCCGTAGCAATTCCGTAGGTATAAATTTCTCACGAGCATTTATGCTACAGGGCATTTTCCGTAGCAAATCTGTAGGTATCGCCTTATACCTACTATATAGCTACGGATTGTGTCGTAGCTGTTGCCTTAGTTTTCTAGTAGTGTATGAACACCTAACTGATACCGATCTGATTCTACTAGGCTGACAACAGAATACAGATCAATGTAGAGTGTGAGTGACAGGCTATCCAGATCAACAAAATACAGATCAATGTAGAGTGTGAGTGACACCTAACTGATACCGACCAGTTTTTTGATCTATGTGCATGATTTTCACGACTGAAAAAAAGACAAAAATCGATAACTTAATGAAAACAATGCATGATTTCCAGATATGTAAGAAACGATTGTGATCTAGATTGATATGGTCGATGATGACAGCGGCTGTGAAATTGTATTGAAATGAACCTGAACATCGTATATATAATGGTTAAGAAATGTGTAGGCGTAACCCTATAACCCTGATCTCTGGCGTTGGTGATTTGCATCAACCTCCCCTACTATTGTACATATTTTCAAATAGAGCCCAAAGGTTATGCAAAATGACAGTTTTATTGCTTGATGAATAAAGTGCAACTTGATTTTTTATTTGTAATTTTTTTAACGGGCTCTTTTATGTAAATGGCCACAATAGTTGTATAGCTTTTTTTAAATGTAAATCTAATTATTCAACATGTGCCGAGCACAACACTTGAGTCGTCGATCTCAAAAAGAAAAAACAACACCTGAAATATGGTTTGACTAGAAATCTTTTGGTAAACATAAATAATCCTCTTTATTTTATTTGTTTTTTGGAAAAACATTTGATATATTTTTCTATCTTGTTTAAGTGAGATTATCTTTCATCATTTGACATTGTAATTATTCTAGGTTGAGTATACCGTATTCATGGTTCAGCCTTTCAACATGAAATGGTGTAATTAGCGCAATGATGTTCATAATTAATGAACATAATGTACAATTGTGCCTATATTTATATTTTAACATGCCCTTCAGTTAAAATCTACAAGTCTAAGAAAGCTTGATAAATATTCAGTTTTATGAATGTTTTGTCCGAAAGCTTATTTTGGTTTATTACTGGATTACTGACACCAGGTGTTATCATATTAGCACATTGTCCTACATGAATTGCGATGTTGCATTTTAAGTATATTTGAATTCCTTTTCTATTTAAAATTAATGTGAGTTTTACAACATATTAGAGACACTTGAATGAATTTTGATAAGCATGTGAGAACCGCAACACATGCACAAATTTGCTATTGACGATTTAAATTTTTTGGTAAATATCCATTGATTTTCAATCATTAATTGCCAGAAAGGCATAATATTGAATATTTATCGCAATATATTTGTGAATTTGGTATAAGTTTGAAAACTGGGGGTGGATTTATGAACTTACCAAAATTAACTATGGGTAATGTAATAATTGTGTAAGGCATCTCTTGCATCTTTTGCATGGTACTACACCAACAGTAACACGAAGAAACCCTAGACTCCTTGTCCGATACAACATAACTCGCCACTAATGCTCAATATTCATGAACTAACAACAAGGGGAAAATAATAATAAAAAAAGTGGTAAAAAATCAACACAATTGTAAGGGTGTTCTTCTGCTACTAATCATTTTACATGAAATCAACATCCAATACAATAATACTCTGCTGGTTTTCTCACTACTATAAAATGAGTCTAATGCAAACTTTTGTAGACAACCTTTTAGTATAATTTATAATTTGTAACATCCCAAAAATACTAACTAAAAGTTTCATTTTTAAACAACCCAAAATATTCATTCATTCATTTAAAGACAACCAAAATGTATCATATTGTCAAACATCAGAGTGAATCGTAAAAAGCTGGTGCAAAATAAAGCTCAAGGGGATGCAGTGCGATCAAGCCGAGAATTTCCTTTTGGAACCAGAAGTACCTGAAACATTTAAAACATGAAACCGTAAGAACAATACTTAGTGAGCTTCCCAGAATACTGCATACCAATACGTGCCTCACCCACCATACATAATAGGCCTCGCCCAACATACATAACTGGCCTCGCCCATCATACATAACGGGTCTCACCCAACGGGCCTCGCCCAATAATAAAACGGGTCTTACCCAGGCCTTGCCCAATAATATAACGGGCCTTGCCCAATAATATAACAGGTCTCACCCAATGAGCCTCGCCCAATAATATAATGGGTCTCACCCAATGGGCCTCACGCAATAATATAATGGGTGTCACCCAACGGGCCTTGCCCAACATACATATATACAACTATGAAAGAGTCACAAAGAAAACAAGCATCTAGTATCCTACATAGTATAGTTAGAAGACTCACCTAAATCTAGCAAGCAGAATCTTAACATCACTACCGTTACGGGCTAGATGGACTTCTCCCTCTTTGATCCCCTACAACCTATACTAGAAAACTCTACTTAGATGACTTCTAGATCACATGTATACGATACTTTATTCATACTTTTACTTTTGGAGACTCTCTTGAACTATTTTTTTGTACAACATTTATATTTTATGCATCTTATATTCTATATTTTGGTATGTATTATTCCAACATAAGCTTAGATTTTATACATACACACACATAAACCTAATCAACTTTCTTCTCGTTTTATACATACACACCCCCAACCAAGTTGATATATGTAATGTTGATTATGTCTAAAACATTAAGACTTAATATAAACATAGATTTCATGAACTAATAGTGTAGCACTTCATTTTGAGAGTTTCGGGACAAAACTCGGGAAAAGGGTGTCGTTTCTTGGTTCTAGACACCAACATAACACAAAGGAAAGTTAAGGGAGTCAAGAACTAATTTAAGCAACCCTAAACATTGTATGAACTAGATCTAAGAGCTTAAAAATGTGAAATGAACTTGTTTTTTAAAAATCTCAAAAATATTAGAGCTTATGAGAATTTCAAAGTGTTTGAAGATGTTTTCTTGATTCAAGTTTCTCACACATGATCTAAAGTGTAAATAGGCTTAAAATTCACCTTTGGAGACAATTAAAAAGAGTTTAGAAACCTTGAAACTCGATAATAAGGTCTAAAAACAAAAATCTGGAGAATGGTGTGCATAAGAGGCTTTTAAGTCATTCCAAGCTTGTTTACTTGGTTCCAGTAGTCCAAACAAGATTTCATGTCTTTAACGGACTAGAAAAAGTTTTTACCAAGAGAAATAAGGGTCAAGGACTTATCTAAAGTGACTAAAACAGGTTGGAGCCATAAATCCCACAACTTGGGATTTTCCCAGGCGAGATGGAGGCTGTCGGAGGAGGATCTGACTTCGTCAACAACATGGAAGGGTCGAGGGACAAGTTGAGAATTCATGGAAGCTAGCTCATACCATGGGATTATCGTAGAACTAGA